GCCAATGCCTCTTCCACTCCAACATATTTCTGTTTCCGACCTATTCTCAGGAAATCATATTCCGATTCCGGGCTCTCAATTCCGGCCGGAATCCACGCAACCCACGGCTCTTTGGTCTCCATCTGAGTATCGCTTTCTCCACTATCCCAACAGACCACACCACCTTTTTATAATGCTTGTGAACTTTATGCCCACGAAAATATGCCTAAAAAAATCAAATAAATAAGATTCCCACTTAAATTAACAACATCAAAAAACTAACACCAGTTTACCTCAATCTTGACAACACGCTCACGAATCTTTAAGAACTCATTCCTTCTTTTCCACCCCTGTACTTATGTTGGATCTTTGATGCTGCAATGTTCAGATGCAAATAGTCTTCATAATCACGTGTTTTCTTCAACTTCTGTAAAGAAGAAGAAGAAGAAGCAAAAGCAAGTTCATCAGTTTTTGCCTTTGTTGCTTGTTGTTGCCTTTGATTGAAAGAACGATCTCTGAAAGCATCTTGAATTAAAGCAGATGCATGTGCTGATCTTCTCACTGCTACAAGTGACCCTTTTAAAGAATGTGAATGTGTAGCATCATCATCATCATCATCCACTTCCACTTCACTTTTGACACCATTCTTGTCCTTGTCCTTCACAGACAATGCTAAAAGATGATTGGTGAGATCAGTTTCTGCCAAATATCCAACAATCCCTTTATGCCCTTTACTCGATGCAAGATCAGCAGCCGTTTGTTCAAGTTTGTTTTTCAAAAATAATAAGTACACATGAATAAGTTTAGCAAAGATATTAAAGAACATTAAAATTAATAGCTATTGCTGAAATAAGGAACATATTAATCAAATAAAATTACAGGAAATAAAAGCACACCTTGTAATAAGTGGTACCATTTCTTCAGTAACCCAAATCCAAATGGATACATCACAAAGTACTTTCAAGACCTGATATTGTCATAAAAAATCAACATTTGATAAGCACTTGACGCAAAGGGTAAAACGGTCATTTACGAAAAATTGCAACTTCTTCTACTGGATTGGTAGCCATCAGCCACTTGCGCTGAAATCCTATGTTGCCATGATAAAATAACATGAACTCAAGTGATGTTAAGAATCTTTCATTAGTATAGGATCAATATGGGGAGTTATTAACCATCAGATAATATTTTGTATTGACGTAGTTGATGATGAAATTGATTTTAATTTATATTATAAAATTGATTAAGATGGAACAGGTGCATGTTGAAATTTTTTCAAAGAATTATATTTTTTATTATTTGAGTAATTGGTCTGAGATAATTAACGTTTACTACCTTTGAGCATTATTAATTAAGACACTCTTATACACATATACATGTAGCGTCTTTTAATTTTATCTATTAGCTAGTATTTTGATAGAACTTGAAAACACGATTATGAAGTGTTACAGAATCAATTCTAAACATACATTCTCCAACATCATGAAGTGAGATTCATTTAATTAGCATAAATAGTTAATTAAAATAACAAAAAAATTGCATTAAGCTCATTATAGTGTTGCAACTTAGCTTTCTCAACATATTATTTGGTGCATGTTCGAAACCTTAAACGAACATTCCTTTCACCTTGATTTTATGAATGAAACAACGAATAATCTCCAAACTATACAATCACATAGTAAATAAAAATGGGTATTTTTCAATTTTTCTAGAAGGAAGGCCAAGACTATGATTAAACTTTCTTTGAGGCATTCTGTCAAACAGTTGGGGTGCATAATCTGTAAACCCATAAAAAAAGGTGTAAAATCCATCTATTGTATGTAAATTACATAGAGGAAAAAAATATAAGATTTATAATATATTTTTTTTCTCAACATCACCTGAAAATTCATCGTTTCTTGAATTAATTAACTTAGTTGTTTGAGATGAAGAATGTGCATGGCTGTATGCGTTACCTCTAAGCTTCTCCGCAGAATACCAGTCAGGCTCCCTAGGCTCCCATTGACAGATACATCTATGATAAGCACAGACTAGTATCAAGATACCAAAACTCCTATGAATATGTAAAGTTTCTTAATCGAAGCATCTAGAATTAATACAAATAGAGGAAAATCGCAGTCCGGCCATGTGAATCTCTAAAATTAGGGCCGACACCGGCGTTGACCGGACTGGAGGGCGGATGGAGGAGGCGGAAGGTGTGCACGTCGATAGAAGATACTTGAGGCCAGTGGCGGAACCTGAAACATTTAAAAGAGGTAGCACAAAAAAAAAATTCCCATAATAGATAGTAAAATAAAGTTTTTAATTACGATTTCAATAGAAATAACAAACTAGCGCAAAAGTTTTACATAACATTTCAAAGTTAATCTCTACGATTGCCCATTTTCCGAAAGCGTTCTATCACTCGTTCGATCTTAACATCCGTAAGTACTTCTTTTTCTACACTATAAATCAAAGAATCATTCAAAAAATCATCACCGATTTTTATTACGTAAGTCGGTCTTCAAGAGTTTCATTGCGGAAAAACATCTTTCAACGGTTGCGGTTGCTACGGGCAAAACCAAAGTCAACTTTAATAACCTATAAACCAAAGGAAAAGAACGATGTTTCCCTGTTTCCACCATCAAACGAGAAAGGTCTGCAATGCCCTTCAAATTAGCAAATCTATCATCATCAATCAAAGAGTGATAATATGTTTCAAGTTGACCATCAAGATACACCCTTTCCAAATCATTAAAATAATTTTTGTATAATTCACTTAGCTTCACCAACTTTGATTTGTCGAACATAGAAAATGTATTACAAGGACTCAAAGCCGCCATGTATTCTAGTAAATCGGTGCTCACTTCAATAAAACGGTCCCCAAATTCTTGAATTTGCATATCCAAAACCGTGTTGAAAATATCAACTTCAAAGTAATGTTGATTAGTAACATTGGCTCTACGGTTTCTTGGATTAACATAAAATTCGGACATTTCCACAATTTCAATTTCATGTTTACGACAAAAAGAAAATACCTTCTCCAGCATTGAAGGAAACCCATTATTTCTTAAAGCTTTCAACGTTTTCATCGTTACTTTCACCAAAGAAGCCGCTTCCAAAATATTTTGATCCTTTCTTTGAAGATGTTTTGATAGAGTATTCGTGAAACCAAAAATGTCCAACATCAAGGGTAAATAAAACACAAAATTAAGCGTCTTAAAATACGATAAAATACAGTACGCTTGATTTCGGTTATTTAAACTAGATCCCTACTCTTCAAAATATTTAAGAACCTTGACAACCTCCGGAAACAAATTCTTCAAACTTATTATTGTTTTATAATGTGAGCCCCATCTTGTATCTCCGGCTCGAACAAGAGAAGTCTCTTGATTTAATCCTCTCCCGGTCTCAATTTCACCATTACCAATTTCTTTTTGAACCCTTTCCTTGTAACTATCCCGTATGATATCTTTTCTT